ATGTTAATTCTTTCATTCTGTTCCTATCTTTAGGATGGAGTCTATAAAACTTAATTTGGGATGGATTAATTCTAAATCTAGCAATAAGTAGAGGCGTACAATAGTACTGAAACCTGCTTAAATTTTTGTGCAATAAATTGTAATGATTTTAACATGGCTATGAAGATGATGTTTAGGTGGTAAGCTTCTGACTACAACACACTGAAGTTAAGTATACTATCACTGTTTTATAACAGTATATTTTAATCTATTTAAAATCTATTTGCTTTTATTTTTTTCCCTCAGTGTATTTTTATAATGACTTCTTCCTAATCAAACCAAATTTTTGATCATAATTCTTATTGTATCTACTCTAAGAAGTGCTGTGTATCTGACTCTAGCTTATGTATTTTCTCTGAATTGTTTCTTCAGCACTTCCTAAAAGGAATGCTTCTGATCCCGTATACAAAGTACTTTGGATGGCATAATCTTTGTTTTCTTACTTCTGCACATGGGGTGCACACAAGCATAAATTCATCTAAATCCTCTATGCCAATAGCTCAGATATCCATTTATCCTCCAGTATGTGTGCTGGTAGCCTTTCTTTGCTTTAAAACTGCATGTGTCAATCCTCTCCCATCTCTGATTTTGCTTTCCATCATTTCTGATTATCTCCCACCGCCTTTCAGCCTGCTAGTCAGACCAACAGCCGGGGACTTGTGCAAAGACAAAGGTTCTCATAACCAAACTATGTGTCAATTTTATTATCTTCTTCTGGAAAACATCTAGAAAACCCCATAGACTTCTTTTTTTATTCCAGAATGTTATTTTCAATGTCATTCAAACTCTTCTTGATCACAGAAACAACAGATTTATGGCCTTGACAAATGCAGTGTTGTCATTCCTGTGGGTATTTGACAAGCTGTTTTGCAGTTGTTTTCTCATCGCATAAAGCAGTTTCCCTCTTTACCTGCTTTCTAGTTATTTTTAGTGCAGTTTCACTTTTAAGACCCACAAGACTTTGTTCCCCTATATACGTTTTCTTACTTTTAATATGGAACAATTTAGTTGCATGTTTGATCAGCCTGTAAAACAAGGCTTGCTGTCATTCTAGTGAGATTTTCACAGTAAAAGGAAGAAGATTACTATTCTTGCAGTAAGTAATGGCCAGTCTTTGCGAACAAATAACCAGGGAAGGTCTTTCCACCTTCCAGCCTGCGCATTGGATTTTTTAGGTGAGACACAGTGTGCGCGGAACTGAGCCCACCCTTTAATCCTGAGGTTCATCTGCCGGGGCCAAGCGAGCTTGGACGGTGGCAGTGAGGTCCTCAGGACGTAGATGGATTGCCTTACGGGCTAACGAGCTCCATCCACCCGGGGAGGGGCCCCAACCGGGAGTTGAACCTGGGTCTCTGCAGTGACAGTGCAGTGCCTTTCCCCTAGGCCACCAGGGGCTCCCATATTCTTACAGTACTGTGCCAAATAAAACACATTAGAGTCATACAATAAATATATTAATACAGACAATGACATATTTTTTCACTTCTTCTTCCTGGGGAAAAAACCCCAACATTTCATTAACGCGCTGAAGAGTTCCAAAAATTTTGAAGTTAAATATTTACTGCTTTTTATTGGCTAATGGAAATTATTATTGTAATGAGTGCCAGATAGTATTAGTGATAATTCTTAAGAGGATCTACTGGAAAAGAGCAAGCAAATAACCTCTTAACTATGCTCTAAGGAGGTTTGCAAATCTATTCCATGCATAGCTAAAATCAGTGGATTCCTTGACTTCTATTTGACTCTCAACAAGAACCAAGTAGAAAATATATTTTTTTAAATGAAACCATTTTGCTCACTTCTTTATAGCTAAAATTTAATAGAAGTTTTCTACTGAAATAAAATGAACAAATAAACAAACAGCTCAGTAGGATAGCAAGACTACCATCCCCTTCATGATATCAACATTTTCATGGTTTTGCACCAGCATTTTCAGTTTTTATTTCTGTAAGTCCCTGGTGAAAATGACAAAAATCTCTGGAGTGCTATAAGTTATGACAACATGAATAACTACTTCCTATCTTCTGGATTAGGCATCTCTGTTACTTGAGCACAAATTCTCTGAAACTTTCTTCCAATAATAAGCTATAACGAGTCTAATCATTGTGGGAAGTCAAAGAGCTTTTTCCAGTGGCTTGTTGTTGTAATAGCTATTACAGAATACTTTATAGATTCATTCTATTTCTATGAATAAGAATTACGATCACAAGGCAACTGGAGTTAATAACCAATTTTGGTGGATATTACTAAATAGGTTCTCAATTAAGTGCCAGTTGGATACCAGTGTTGATAAAATGAAACCTTCCCATATAATGTAGTGTATGTTGCACATAGTTCAATTGAAACTGCAGAATACCTGCTGTCATGAGTCCTGCAGTGGTGCTCTTTCTTTTTCAGATAATGTACTATGCTTAACTTGACATGAAATGGATGCAGGGTTAGTACTCATTCAAAAAGAAGGTTTCTTTCCACTCTCTTCCCCTCTCCTCCCTTTACTCTTAAAAATCTGATAGCACCTACTGATTCAGCTGACTGGTTCGTCTTGCCTAGTACCCTTCTTGGATGAATATGTTTGCACGTAATTTTGATTCTAAACCCTTAGTAGTGTAATTAGTGGCTTACAATAACTCCTGTGAACAGCAAAAACATAAATCAAGCCCAAATACTTTTTTTGAGGGGACAGATAGATAAATTCTTTGAATTGGAAATTTATATTACTCTGCTGATAACATCTCAACAGCTGTCTTACATGCAGATTTGAGCTTTTATTGTGTAAATTGGGCCACAGCAAGCATAGTAAAAATCAAATATAAAAACAGGTTAACACTTGTAGCCAAGCCTGTTAAAATTAGCTAACCAAATTATATTAAATCATCCATCTGTTTGTTACATTATCCTGACAATAATAGTGGTAAAGCAAATTTACTAACTATGTTTTATAGAATGTACTGTCTATAATTTTATTTTTTAATTTCCAGGCTGTAACTTATGGTTATTTGCATTGCACTATTTTGTGTACACAGATATGCTTTCTTCACAATTACATATTTAACAATCAAGTTATTAATTTTAAAATGACTTCTAAACAGACAGAATGATGTGGTAATTACTATTTTAATCAAGATATTTAATTTCTATGTTCAGTTTATGGTAAACAAGTGTAACCTAGGAGTCCTCTTTAGTTTCTTTTGGCCCTGTCAAAGACAGGAGAAGGATTAGTTTCTTATCCAGGCTGTACACATTACTTCAAAACACAAAGATCCAGATTCACAAAGGAAGACTGTCAAAGAAATATTTGTCCTCCCATTTTCCCCCTTTATTGCTCAGTTCAAGTAGTCATAAAGTCAAGTCATCTACGTATCCCATACAACATAGGGGGAAAGTCAGATCCCTAAAGTGTACTCAATTAACATCAGTACATGGAGCACAGCTCACAGGGACAAGTAAGTTACCCAAGGTTTCTCTTATTCTTCTATTTCAGAAAGGCTGCACAACACCTATTTTCACAGGTCTAAGCTTCTCACACTATTCAGTCTGGACACAGAATGAAAACTGGAATGAATGGAAACAGAAGTGTCCCACCCTTTGCGTTCCAAAAAACGGCAGCAGCTCTGGTAGTGGTCGAAGTACTAGGAAGTTAAAAATGTCTTTTGGACCTCCTTTATCCTGAAGCAGTTCAAACTACATCTCTTGCCTCCTAGAAAGGTGCCTAACATTGTTCTGTGGCATGAGTGGAAGACACTTCTCCTGCAGAGAAGATATCTCTCCTGCAAAAGTTAAAAAACAGTGGCAATCCAATTTACAGGGAATTATAAAGGCTGAGAACATTGGGAGATCTGTTTCACTGAGATTTTTTCCATAGGAGATGATCACCCTAGATTTCTAGCACTGGCTCTCAAGATTGCTTATGCATCCTGCATTAAAGAGTCATGCAATCGGGTAAGCAAACAAAGCAAAAGAGATAAAAGCAAGCCAAACTCAAAGAGATAAAAGCCAGCCAAATCCAAAGGCTATACCTTCTTAAGCATTTATGTAAAGCTTTATAGGAAACATGAGGACTTCAAAATTTCATTTTGGTTGCACTTAAGGCACTTACATGTTTTAGTTCTGGATTCAGGACCCCATGGATGTGACTGAGCAATTTATGAAGACATACATAGACAACCCATAGAACAGGGTTTTCATAACAGAGAGTAGTGTCAAATCCCAAATGTTTCTCCTATAAACAGAAGGGGAAAAAAATTATTCATAAGAGAAAAGAAACAGGGTTTGTTGTTTTGTTTTGGGTTTCATTTGTTTGTTTGTTGTGGTTTTGGGGTTTTGTTTGGGTTTTTTGTTTGTTTGTTTTTTATTTCCTGCTATCATACCTCAACTATTTTTAATAAAGTTGACAGCAGACTCCACTGGAAGCTGGTAAATGTGACCCCCATCTACAAGAAAAGCTAGAAGAAGGATCCAGGGAACTACAGCCCTGCTAATCTGACCTCAGTACTGGGAAAAGTCATGGAAGAGATCACCCTGAGTGCCACTACATGGCAGTTGCAGGACAACTAGGAGGTCAGGCCCAGTCAAGCATGGTGAAAGGCAGGTCCTGCCAGACTACTGTGACTACTTCTGTGACCAGGTGACTTGCCTGTGGATGTTGTCTACCTGGACTTCAGTAAAGCCTCTGACACTGTCCCCCCCACATTCCCCTGGAGACACTGTCTTCTCAAGGCTTGGAGAGGTGTGCTCCTCACTGGGTAAGAAGCCTGGAGAGTGGTAAATGGAGATACATCAGGTTGGTGGCTGGTCAACAGTGGGGTTCCCCAGGGTTCAGTGTTGGGCCCAGTTACGTTATGTATTTTTATCAGTGACCTGGATGAAGGGTTGACTGAGTTTCCCTTCAGTCAATTTGCAGATGATACCAAGTTGGGTGGGAGAGTGTTGATCTGCTGGGGAGAAGGAAGTCTCTGCAGAGGGATCTGGACAGGTTTGATTGATGGGCTGAGGCGAGATTGCACCTTGAATTCTGTGTTCAGTTTTGGGCCCCTCACTCACTACAAAAAAGATGCTGAGATGCTGGGGCATGTTCAGAGAAGGGCAGCAAGGCTTATGAAGGGTCTGGAGCACAAGTCCTGTGACGAGTGGCTAAGAGAGCTGGGTTTGTGTTAGCCTGGAGAAGAGGAGCATCAGGGGAGACCTTATTGCTGTCTACAACTACCTGAAAGGAGGTTGTAGTAAGATGGGAGTTGGTCTCCTCTTACAAGAAACAAGTGATATGACAAAAGAAAATGGTGTCAAATTGTACCAGGGGAGGTTTAGATTAGATACTGGGAAGAATTTCATTGCTTGGACGATCAGGCTTTGGAACAGGTTGCCCAGTTAGTGGTAGAATCACCATCCCTGGAAGTGTTCCAGATTCATGTGGATGTGGGACTTGGAGTCATTGTTCAATGGTGAACATGGTGGTGTTAGGGTAACAGTTGGACTTGAGGATCTTAGTGGTGCTTTCCAACCTTCACTATTTTAGATTTCTATGATTCAGAGCCCCATTTTGATGTAAGTCAACGAACAAGAGTGGAAGATGGCTAGCTTGGGTGAGCAGGTAACTCCCCTTGGGACTCTACAGGAGAAGGAAATTTTATGACCTATGAAAGAATTCAGGCATTGCAGAAAGATTACAGAGCTGTAATTCATATATGCAGGGACAAGACACAAAAAGACCTAAGCTCATTTGGAGTTGAAACTGGCCAGTGTTGTGTCATACAAGAAGAAAGTCTTTTTTAGGAATGTTAATAGCAAGAGGAGGTCTAAGAAAGCCATTTGACCACTGTGTGTTGCAGATCATTAGGGAAAATGGAAGAGAGGTGTTCAGTGGGGATTTTTACCCCAGTCTTAAATAATACTGATAGACCTTGGACAGTACACTCCTCTGATTTCACTGTGAATACTGTATGTAGTTCTGGGCCCCACAATTTGAGAAGGATGTGAGGATGTCTTTGAATGCATCTGGAGGAGGAGAACAAAGCTGATGGACTGGAAGGCATGTCCTGTGAGGAATGGCTGAGGACTCTGGATTTGTCTAGTGTAGAGAAAAGGAAGCTGAAATGTGACATCATTGCTCTCTACAGCTTCCCAAGGAGGGGAAGTGGACATCAAGATGCTCACTTCTCTGTGGGATCAAGCAACTGGACAAGGGGGAATTGTTCAAAGCTGTGACAAGAGAGAGTTATTCTAGAGATTAAGAAGCAGTTCTTTGCCAAGAGAATGATCAAAACAATGAACAGGCATCTTGGAGAGCTGGTTGATACTTAAGACCTGTCAGTGTTTAAGAGATATTTAGACAATACCCTTAATATTGTGCTTTAAATTTTGTTCAGCCCTGAAGTGTCCAGGCAGTTGGACTAGATAATAGTTACTGGTCCTTTCCAAATGAACTATTTTATTCTCCTCAAGGAGCACATCTCATTTAGTGTGGGATAGATGTAAAACATGAACGTCATTAGGAGTAAACCAATTAGTCTTTTAAAAATATTTACATCTCAAAAGCACCAATATTCTCAAAGCTTACTTGAATGTGGATGCAAATACATTACAGAGAAGATGAATAGGTGAGCATTAGCTGTCCTAAGCAGGCCTTCAATTTCTTTCCATCTATCAGTTATTTCCATTGTTTAGCTCTGTACTGGGAAGTGACAGTATCCCAAGGCTGGTGTAGCAGTGTGTCAATCTGGCTCCAAAATGGAAGAATATCCTGTATAGAACTGGCTGTAGTAAGAAATATTTAAAAACCTGAAGAGACAATTACAATGAATTGATCCTCTAGCAAAATTTTCTATTCAACAAGTTGTTTAACATCCCTGTAACTTGTGCTTAATCACAAAATATTTTAGAAGGGTGGTAATTGATATTAGAATTCCAAGTGATAAAATTTTGCTACATGTCTGAACAAGTTGTTCAAATGGTGAACTCCAAATAAAAAATAACTGTGTTTTAAAAATCATACTTGAATTTAAAGAATTGCAATTATGAATTTCCCTGCCTTTGTTATCCAATAATTGGAATTCTGTGGCTTCTCCTGATAAAATGCAAGGACTTTCATTGTAAAAAAAATCTACTTTCACTCTCTTCATTGCTGTCCCAAGGTGTAAAATTGGTATATCTTTATATATACTGGAAGGTAGACAAGTAAATTTTAAAATTTTTATTGTCACCAGATAACAGGAACATAGCTACTATATCCATCCCACTTTCTCCAGTGAAGTATTTCGTTAAATATTTCAAGAAAATTACAGACAAATAGAAACTCTTTTATGTGAACACAAAAAGTGGAGCAGCTTAACATATTTTCTTTGCTGCAAATTTTTCAACTTCATTTTAAAAAATATTGAAGATTTTGGGCATAGTGGCCTGCATATATCTATTATTTTCTGTGTACAAACAGGAAGAAAGAAGAGTTCAGTATCTTTTCTATGTCTGTGTTGAAATTCTTTCATTGTACATTTTTAATTTTTATCAAAAGTGAGGATGTGGAGGGTTTAGAGAGGTGGATTTTTATTTTTCTTTTTACTGATGATTCTTATAGTGTTCATTGCATGTGAGATAACTCTCTATGCTATGCAGAAATCCACTATTTAATTTTTTTTGTGAACAGTGAATTATGAATTATGATTGAAGGACAATTTAATTCTTTTGGTAAAAAGTAGCTAAAGAACTAATTTGAATCCATGGAAAAACACAGAATTACTCCTTGTAAGACATTCCCATTTAGGCTAATGTCATAATATGAAGTTACAGCATCAAATTTACATTGGAGAAATGGAATATATGTCTGCTGATGTCTCTGTAATGGCACTGATGACAGTCTCACTTAAGTGTCATGGAAAGAGACCTGGGGGCCCTGGTTGATGGCAAGTTGAATATGAGTCAGCAGTGCCCTGGCAGCCAGGAGGGCCAACTGTGTCCTGGGAGGCATCAGGCAAAGCATCGCCAGCTGGTCGAGGGAGAGGATCGTCCCGTTCTGCTCTGCACTGGTGTGACCTCACCTTGAATATTGTGTGCAGTTTTGGCCACCAAAATGTAAGAAGGATATTAAGGTCTTAGAGAGTGTCCAAAGCAGGCCATGAAGATGGTGAAGGGTCTTGAGGGGAAGTTGTATGAGGAGCAGCTGAGGGACTTGGTGTGTTCAGCCTGGAGAAGAGGAGGCTGAAGGGACGCTTCATTGCAGTCCACAACTTCCTTGTGAGCAGGAGTTATTACCAAATAATCTGTTCTGCACATTAGAGTTATCATATATTTTATGTGTAAAATGTGTATACAGTTCTTTTAGGTATTTCTAAACTTGCACTCAGCACCATTTTCTGGCAGAATGTAAAACTACTTATGAGACAGCATTTTATTACCATTCCCTATTTCCTAGTTAGATACATATTCATTTAGTACTCTCAGGCAGTTCATGCAAACCTGGGCAGACACTGATCTATTCTCTGTGGTCACCTGTGATGGGACCAGAGGGAATGGCCTGAAATTGTGTCAGCGGAGGTTTAGGTTGGATATTAGAGAGAGGTTCTTCACCCAAAGGGTTGTTGGGCACTGAAACAGACTCCCTAGGGAAGTGGTCACAGCACCAAGCCTGACAAAGTTCAAGAGGCATTTGGATGATACTCTCAGGCACATGATGTGACTCCTGTGCAGGGCTAAGAGCTGGACTGGATGTTCCTTGGTGGTCCCCTCCAACTTAGTATAATCTGTGATTCTATGAATTGCATCAGTTCTGAGCTATGCTTTCTAATACACCTAAGTGAATTTTATTTGGAGAATGATTTATTCACCAAAAAGTGGGTTGGTTCTGAATTTTTCAGAAATCTGGTGGAAAATTATGACTGAAAAAATGACAAAATGTTTAATTTAGCATCTACATGTAAAAAGATTTTGTTCTCTTGGAGGTTAGGCTTGGGAGAAAGGTAGGCACAGGTTCCACCTTGGTCATTGGATGACCTAGCACTTCTTTCGTACTTTAGCTCCTTGCAAGTCCTCTTTATTTCCCATTCAGATTATCAAAATCTTACAAAAGTTCAGTTCTCAGGATTGTACATCTGTCAAATTAGAGATTCCTCACTTTATTTATTCCTTGTATATCTTAGTATCCAGCTATTTTTTTACAGATCAGAATAGTCACTATTCTCTATGTTGAGCTCCTAGCTGCAGATCACAATTGCTTTAGTTCCTAGACTCAATAAAGAACTTTCACAAACACAAATATAGAGCTAGACCTCTATCTTACCTGATATTTTAGAAACATTCAAAAGAAAGGAAAGTTAGAAGCAGACAGAAATCCTACATATTTGATCTAACTGGAGCTTTTGAAATGTGATATATACTGGGAGTGGTAGCCATACAGGGCAAGTTATTCTGAAAGATAGTCACCTATTATTCTGTATTATACCTCAAACTGAGGGAAACTAGAGTTGTTCAGTGTCTGTTTTGGTGAGCAGCTCACTTGCCACTTTGCCTGCTAATTATTTTAATAATACACCAATGTTTTAAATATTTTAGATTGTTTCTAGTTTAGAGAGTGAGTACAATTTAATAATTAATGAAACAATATAAGTGATAAAAGCAAGAGATATTGAAAAAACATTTCACTGCCCAAACAATAAGTTTCCTTACTGGAGAGGATCACCTCATCACTTTTGCTTTTCTTTCAAATATTTAGTGTATTCAAACAATCAGGAAGGAAATAATTGAAGTTCAGTTGAACTTACAAAGGATTACATTAGAGAAGCCTAGAAAGTACATTGGAAATATGTTGGAAATTTCCAGGAAATCATACATGTTCACTTTGAATTTACACTAATTATGAAAACATGATAGGGAATTCAAAATAAAATATCTGTGTTTGGAGAGTGAATAAGGAAAAAACATGTTATCATTTGACATGCCTATTAGCCTCATCTTTTGGGTTTGGGAAATGGCTGGCAGGGCTGCTGTCAGATATGGCAGAATTAACTCCTGGAAGTCAGAATCACAGTGTATGTGTTCATGACATTAGAGTAGAAAAACTCTTTCTGAAAATTTTAACAGTATGCCAGTGATGCCATGTCCATAACAATTTCAAATTATTTAATGATTGCAATACTTGTTCTAGATTCAAAATTCAATCAGTTTGAAATTAAAATATATTTTTTTCACCAGAATCAAAGTTAAGCCAGGCTATTGAATACTGGCAGTCTTCCAAAAAAACTTCTTATTTCCTTATATTAGCTGTCTGTAGATCATTTTATTAAATGGTAAATCAGATGATCTCTTTTGTCTTAAGTTCCCATTGATTAAAGAAGTGAGCACCACTATTTTCCAGACACCTTAGTTATGAAGATTTAAGTATGAAAATTATAGTTCTACTTTTACTGAGATAGCACAGGTGACAAAGACGAATGTCTGACTACTTTCTTAAAAGTATATATTATTAATGTAACATTGTGAGTACATTGCAGAAGACAATTAGTCTTTGGGAGAAAACAGGATTCTGCTCCCTTAGTCCTGATACTTCAGAATGCAACAGTAAAGGACATCTGGTCAAAGTGCTGTGAAAAACTGTAACCTTCCTACTTCTCCTATTTCTTGAATCAGTGTGGAAAGAAATTATCATTTTCATTTTGCAAATCGGATATAATAACTACACTTGTGCAAAAGAATGAGCTTCACAGAATTCTTCAATAATGTGGCTGTACATGAGAATATAATTATGTCTATGACAGCACATGATGCTTCAGTGATTACTTTAACAATTTTAATTACAGAAAAGTTTCCTTGAAGCTTGAAAGGAAAAAGTGTATACCACTGACTAGGAAATATGCAGCATATAAAGAACATCAAAACCAACCTGCTACTGATTTCAGTGGAACCTGTCATAATCTCAAAGTTTATCCCTGCTGACATACCAAAGTATATTTTGGCTGTATCACTCCAAGAGGTAATCCTTTATCTCTTGTTAAATTACCTTAGTCATTTTGGAATAAATGGAACAATTACAGTTTCACATAACCAGGAATCTGTCATGAACTTCCAAGCTATAGGCCAGCATTCCACAAGGTAGTTACAACATGAGGAAAAGTTATCCACACAGACCAAATATCAGAGAAAAATAGTTATTCCCTTCTGTTCAGTTCTTACTGGACTACATCAGAAGTACTACATCCAAACAGAGAAAACAGAGAAAAACTGGAGAGTCCAAAGATGGGCGACCAAGATAGTTAGGAAGCTGAAGCACAAAACATTAAAGAAGAGGCTAAGGGACTTAGTAAATGTAGATCCAAGAAGAGAAAGATAAAGGTACCAAGCTGCCGTCATCAACTAATGTAAGAAATTATGGTGAAGATGGAACCAGATCTCCAGCAGACCAAAACGCAGTGATCACAACCTACAGTGAGAGAAATTCCAGTCAAACATACAGAAAAGATCTTCACAATTGGGGTGGTTTTAATCTAGGCCTTCCCTGGTTACCAGTTTGTAACCAAGGAAGGGGCAGTGTTCCCAGTATTCCATACAATTTTTATGTAAATCGTGGTATAAATAAGAGGGGAGGAGAAGCCTTCGTTCCTCTTCTCTTCTGCCGAAGTTCGGAAACAGTGGGTCCCTGCGTTGGTCTCGCTTATCTAAGGCTGAGGCCTGCAGCATCCACTGACCTGCCACGTGGAAGCTTGGGGAGTGCTGGCTGTGTGTGTGTCATTCCTGTTTTTTCTAAGGGACGTGGTGAGATTTGTTTTACTAGTTATTTTACTAATTCTCAGGTTTGATTGCGTATATCTGCTCGGTGTCCTTTTTTTGTTCCCTTCTGTCCCTTTTTCCCCTTTCCCTATCCCTTCGTGGGGTGTTTGGATTCCCGTTTGCTGTGTACATAGCATCTTAACTGTAATATACATAAAATATATATATTTTTATATAACTAGCTTGGTTTTTGGGTTCTTCAATTTGCATAGTTTTTTTCCTTTGCCCTGGGGGAAGTAGAAAGAGGGGAAGAGAGGGGCTGTTACTGGGAGGTTGGGCATTTGGCAGGGAGCCAAGTCCGAACCATCACAACAATGAAGGCGGTAATGTGCTGGAGCAGACTGACAAGAGAACTTGTGAAATCTCAATCTTTGCATGTATTCTAACTTCTCCTGGACATGGTCTTGAGTAAGTTCATCTAAATTTAGGGTAACCCTGCTGTGAGAAGGTGATGAAACCAAATAATCACTGCAGGTCCCTGCAAATCAGAATTATTTTCTGATGCTACAATTGTATTAATTTTGATATTCAACTATAATGTATAAAATATTTTTGCTATATCAGTGGTACCACATTGATTACAGATCCTGAATTCTGCAAGCTGCATTTTATATCTTGAAAAAAAAATTTGACAATATACTGAGAAGTAGTAAAATGTTTCTAATGCTAGATAAAATAGAAATTTACCAAAAGAGGTTGAAAATGAAAGAAAAAGAATGTTGCATTTGGTGTGGTTTTTTGCTTTCTAAATTGTGAATAAGCTACACTGGGGGAGGTGTTGGATTAATGTCAAGACAAAGATGAAACAGGATGGGGTAAAGAAGAATATAATTCATTCTTTTTGCAAAAATAATCCCCTGGGTCTCTCAGTTAAACTACAATGTTGGAAAAGCATTCTTTAATAACAAAATGGGAACTGCTTTACATCATAAACACACAAACCAGAAAGACTGTTGATTTTTATTTGCTCATTTAAAAATGCATAAGGATTTTTCCCTATTATGGTGGGTGCCTGTTAAAGCAGAAGAATTTCTAAGGAATGAGATGAGGACTGAGTTCTTACTTACATCTGGGAGATATCCAAATTAACTGAACTTGCTTCAGTGAATTTATTCTGGACTTTTACTGGTATAATTAAGAAAATAATTTGATTCTTTATGTTTCTTATTAGTCAGTGAAACTTCATTTTTATTTTTTATCTAGAAGTGAGAACTTTTCAGACTAATGTC